TGGGCTGGAAAAATGTGTTCATGAGACAAGTTGCTGTGGCATTATGTCATGGGCCTTCGGTTGGGCTCTTTGCTCCCTTAGCAGATGATCTGAATTGGAGCATCGGGCTGCACCGGCTTGGCAGGACATCGGGAGCTTACGTGAAAACCTCGTGGGTCGTAAGCTAAATGCAATTACTTTTATTTTGGGAGCAATCAGTGTCTCCTGCATCCCTTTCCCTGCTGCTGCTGCTGCTGTACAACCCACAGTGCACAAATGCTCACAGGTGGGTCCCTGTGGCCATACCTATGTGGGCAGGGATGATCCCAGCACCTTTGGCATGAGGGAACGGCAGTGACCAGGGCTGGAAAACCCCAGGCTGGAGCTGCCCTGGCTGAGTCAGGCCGCTCCCTGCACGCAGTGCAGTTACCGTACGGCTGAGGGTGAACCTGGCCCCGAGGTTTCCACCACTTCCCCTGGGGCCACTGCAGCCAGCAGCTTTCACAGGGGGTGTTTCCCGTGACAACCATTCTTTTTTCTTCCCTCTGGATTTTCCCTGTGGCAAAACCATTCCTACAGGAGTGCCAGGAGGATGGAAAAGTTCCTTTTGTGACACTTGCTGGGTTCACTCCAGGCTGGACGCAGCACAGAGGGGACAGTCCCATTCCCACCTCACCTTGTCCTCTGCTCTGCCCTGTAGGGCACCCTTTTTAGGGGCAGGCATGGGGCAGCTCCTAGCACTCTGCTGCCTGCCCCAAAGGTGCCTTGTGTGGGCAGTAACCGGGGTGGGAGGTTGCAGGTCAGAGCAGGGTCAGGTCTTTGACACGCACGGCAGCGACGCGGTGGTTAAAATTAGCTTGTGGAGAGGAAACTGGCAGCATTGTGGAAGAGCAGAAGTTTCCTCTCACGGCAGCATGGTGCTGCGCTGCAGGACACTGCCAGCCCCTGCCTGCCCCCATCCCTGTCCCCGTCCCACCCAGCATGGGGTGACCCGGCGTTGGCAGTGCTCTGCTATGTTACCCAAGGATGGGGTCTGCTCCACCTAGGAGTCAGTGGGGATGCTGGGGATGGGGTCTGGAGCCTGCTTTTCCCTGGGTGGGAACTGCAGCAGAAGGTTCTGAGGCATGAATGTGAATTTTGCAGAGTGGGTGACACTTCCAGGCTCCGTTTGCTTCCCAAGGCTGACTGCAGGCAGCAGGAAGCACCGGAGGAGCAGACTGCAGGTGTGGAGCCCCACGGCGATGGGGGATGAGGAGGGTCATGGTGGAGGCACAGGCAAAGGCCACGGAGGCACCGTGCTCCCGTGCTCTGGAAACTCCATTTGAGAGCCTCATAAATGGATAATTACCTGAGCTATTGAGTTTCCTTCTGGCCAGATCCATCCCAGCCTCCCTGACAAGGGCTCGCCTAACGGCCTGTGGGGCCGGCCTGCAGGATGGGGTCGGGATGGAGCTGGTGTTCATGCCCCTGCCCGCCTGCCCCACACCTGCATCCCTCCCTCCTGCTTTCAGCTAGGGGGGTGCTGGCATTTGAGCAAAAACAGAACGGTAAGGACTGACTGCATCATTCATCCCTCCCTGGGGACGCTGGGTAAATCCCTTTCATCCCCATCTACAAGGCAAAGGGGACCCCAAACCACACAGTGCCCTCCATGTGCTGCAGGGCTCTCTGCCCCCATGCTCTTCTCTGCCCGTTGCCTCCCCTTTGCGCTGACTTTGTTTTCCTTTCCCTCTCCCCAACCCCCTCGCCCTCACCCCACAGGTTATTGCAGCTGACTGCAAGAGGGTCACAGTTCTGAAGTATTTCCTGGAAGCCCTTTGTGGACAAGAAGAGCCTTTGCTGGCATTCAAGGGTGGAAAATATGTGTCAGTGGCACCCGTCCCAGACGCCATGGGAAAGGAAATGGGAAGCCAAGAGGGAAAACAACTGGAAGATCAGGTACCGTGCGGGAAGAACGCGCCTCAGTGAAGGAAGAATCACCCCAGTGGGGCCCAGCCTCTGCCTGCCCCACAGCTCCCACTATTTATGGCTGCATGTGCATTTTATGGGGAGAATCGGGGGGGGCAAATAGCGCAGGGCCCTCGAGCGTGCTTTACTCGTGCCCTTTGCTGCCAGCCCGGGCCCTGAGCCTCTGTCTTCCGTGCTGCTATGAGTTCCAGATGCTGCTTGGTACTGTGTGCAGGGGGGGCCTGGCCTGAACGCCCCTCCCAGGAGGGGAGGTGGGCGAGGGAGCGTCAGGGTTCAGCCTCAGGATCGAGTTGAGAGCCGTGGAGCTGCTTGCAGCAGAGGCCCGGGCTCCAGCCTCCAGCACACGTACAGGAAGAGCTGACATTGGCGCCCCGTCCCTCCCCTGCCTCTCACATCCTGATGTGATTAAGGAATTCAGCTCTTGTTTTTCTGCCCTTGCTTGTTCCTGTAGGCCTTGCTTCGCTCCAGGCTCCATGTGTGTGTTTAAGGGCCCTGCCAGCCGCTCTGCAGGTTGACTCTTTTCTTGTGTTTCATCTTGCAATTTGAAAGGCTGAGGAAACAGTGGTGTGGGGCAGAGCCACCCAACTCCCAGTCTCCTCCCAGTGCAGAGGGAATCGCCCGGTGCCTCCCCTCTGCCAGCACTGGGTGGCCTGTGATGTGTGTCCCCTGTGCCCTAGCCATGGGGACCCTCCTGGTCACTCCCAGTGAATGGCTGGGGGTGAGCAGGGCATGAATTTTAGATGTTTTCTCAAGTAAAAGGGAACCTGAAGTCCCAGACCCCTGTCCTACCCTGGAGGCTGCTCAGGAGGTTTTCATGCTGATACTGCAGCCCATGTAATATCTGGGGTCTTTAGGTCCCACCAAGGTGACGGGGGCACTGCTCTCTGTTATAGGGCCATGCGCTCCTGTTTCTGCTCCATAACCTCAGCCTCCACGTGGCTGTGGGAACCTCTCCACGCTTTCCTTGCACAACCCTAGAGCTTCCTCCTTGGGGTCTGAGCACAAGGCAGCTCCCAGCTTGCCAGTGTGACCAGCCCTGAGCCCGGGCAAGCAGAGCCCGACCCGAAAAACCACAGCGGATCTGCACCCGACGTGCCTCACAGCATCCCCCATCCTCTGTGGTCCAGGCTGTCCCAGAGAGGGAAGTGAGCCCGAGGGCTCCCTCTTCCTCCTTCCCAGGGCTCAGAAGTCACAAGCAGAGTGGAGCACTTGGTTCTGTGGCCAGCATGTGCATGGCTCTGGGTGGAAGGACTGAGCATGCAACTGCGCAGTGCTGGGATTGCTGAAACGAAGACTGCAGGTCCTTGCCCACACGTGGCAGCCTGCTCTGGGTAGCAGTGCTCTCTTGTTCTTTTTCGGGATCATCTCGAACAAGATCTGTTGAGGTGCTCCACGTGTGTCTGCCCTCAAGCAAGGCAGCAGCGTCATGGCTGCAGGGCAGGCAGGTGGGGACCAACAGCCTCCTCTCACAGGGATGTGCCAGGCAAAGTGCTATTTCCCTAAGTGCTTCCTACCTTGCAGAACTGAAGCCTGTAAAGCATCAGTGACTCACTCAGGGCCGTGGGAAGAGTTTTCCAACACCATGCAGTTTGCTTATAGAACAGAGCTTTAACAGGGCTGCCCCTGCCCTGCCTTGTGTCTGGCATCTCTGCCCTATTCCATTGTGTCTCATTTTCCTGCATGTATGCCATGTATTTGTGTTTGATTGCTTCTTTTAAAGGTTTAGGAATAGTCTCCTATCAATGTGGGACAGACTGTGCTGGGTGGGGATTTGTGTGCTGAGATGAGGAGAACCGCAGCCCCTGCCGCCAGCATCCCTTACAATCACTTCTGTCCTGTTTTTGTCTTTGTACATTTCCTGGAAGAAGGAAGATGATGTGAGGATTGAGGCATTTGAAGATGACTCAGAGGCTGAAGGCAGTGGAGGAGAGATGGACATCAAGGAACTCCGAGCCAAGAAGCAAGCATTGGCCAGGAAGGTGGCAGAGCAGCAGCGTCGGCAGGACAAGATTCAGGTAGGATGGGACCATGTCCAGCTGAGGAGCTGCTTTACTTTTGTACTCGGGCTGATCCTATCTCGCCGTGCCTATCTCGATGTGTACAGCTTTGTTTAAGGTTTCTTGGGACGTCCCTTAGTCCCACTGCAAAACCCAGCTGCACTTTGAGAGCACAGAGCCAAACCTGCATTGCTGATCCACCCCAGGGTAAGCTCTGCCCTCCCAACGCCCGAGCTGAGCATGCTGGGTCTCCAGGAGCCCTCAAGGAGCTGCACAGCACTTCTCATGGAGTTGCTGGCGCTCCCTGCAGTGCTGACAGAGCTCCTGCTGGTGGCTGCAGTGCAGCGGGTGCCAGGCAGCTGGCTGGCCCGGGCTGGGACAGTGGCTCGGTGGCCCCAGGGCTCAGTGAGGAGGCAGCTTTCCCATGCAGCAGGGCACGGGCAGACTGGGGAGAGGGTGGGACGTGAACAGCAGAGTTCATGTGGGAGCCAACAGCAGGAAAAACAGCCTGCGGATGGCTGCCGCAGCCAGAGCACTGCTTGCGAAGCGTTGCCATCGTTATGGGGACAAACAGACGGGATACAGGTGATGCTGTGCTGGCCCTGGCCTAATCTTAGCACATCTCCCAGTGGGAGCCTGTGAAGCGAGCTGGGGAGCAGCTGCCCAGCAGTGCCTTCTGTTGCTTTAAGAGCGAGCTGACATGCACGCCGCTGGCCGCCTCGCCGCTCGCAGCCCCTCTTCCTTCAGCCTCGTGGCCCAGATGAGGATTTCTCAGCAGAGGAAAATTCTCCCTGGCTCCCCTCCCCCTCACCTCCGCCCTCTCTAATGCCCAGGGCCCTTCACTTCCATAATTCTTCATTTTCCAGCCTTGAACGTAAGCCAGACACATCTGTCTGGCCATATGCGTGAACTCTGCAGTGTGTGCCGAGGTGGTTGTAAAACAGGGCTGCTGAAGGCCCTACTGGGAGAGCGCACACATGTGTACCCTCCGGCTATTGGCGCCGGGCCCAGAACCACTGCGCTTCACTTTTCCAAACCCACCCCAACCTTTGCAGATTTTGCCTTTTTTTTTTTTCTTTTTTTTTTTTTTTTTCCCCCTTTTTTTCATCTTCTTCTCCTTTTTTTTTTTTTTTTTTTTATATTTGCATTTGAATTTCGAGAAATTCGTATCAAGGCAAAGGTATAAATTGTGCCGCCCCCGCAAGCGAGTCCATTACTGTTGGCAGGTACCTGGGTCACATTAATACAATAAGGAAGAAAGCAGCAGCGAATGAGTGAGAGATTGGAGAGATGGGCTGTAAATTAAAGCGGCCTGAAGCCTTCCAGCCTCCCAGGGTTGTTAAGCGGGAGGTGTAAGTAAATTCCCCACTTCCCACCGCCTTGTACAGACACAGCAAACAGGAACTGCACATGTTCGGGGAGGGCAGTGCATGCAGATCCCGGCCCAGCTGCGCCGGGGCCCCCGGGATGGCCGCTGCCCGTTCTGCGGGGAACGTGGGGGCTGCCTGATGTGTCAGGGGCTTTTCTCCCCGGCCCACTCCTCCCTTCCTCCCGAGCCTCCTCTCGCAGGCAGAGAGAGGTCAACATGAGGGTGTGGGCAGCTTCGGGGGCTGCACAGCTGAGAGCTGAGGTGCAGTCGGAGCCTGGGTGGAGGAGAAAAGTCCTTGGGGGCTTTGCTAAAGTCAGCCAGGCCGCGGCTGGCTGGGAACAGCCCGCAGCAGAACATGTGTGCGGCCCAGAGCTGGGATGGGGAGGCCAGGCTGAAGCCAACCCTGCGCCGCACCCCTCGGATCTCCCTGCCTTGACCCGCGGGTCTCTGGTTTTCTTGAGGGATTTGTGCTTCCTGGGACCTGCTGCCTTCTAGGTTTCATCCTGTAGCTCTTGCTCCCCTGTGGCATTCTCGCACTGGCTGCTCTCCGGTTCCCTCTTTCATTATCCTGGGGATGAGCTGCAGTCCCATGTATTCACTGGAGTCCTGCAGATCCTGTGTTAGCACAGCCAGGACCCTCAGCTCTCCGTGCACATCTATGTGCACTGATGGGGGCACGACCCAGAGAGCCCAGGCACCCCAGAGCCTCCTGCAGAGCCTGGCAGTGCAGGGTTCAGGGAGAAGCCTCCATCTTTTGGCTACTTGTTTTCTTTCTAAGTGTTTTGATATCTCTGAAGTTTCCCACTGACATCCCTGTGCCATCCCTTGGCAGGGCTTGGTGTGCCCATAGGGAGCATGGTGTGGTGGCCTCATCTGCACCCTGCAGAGCTGTGCTTCTTTCTGCCTTCTCTCTGATGGGTTTTTGGGCACTGCTTTCTTCCCTTCACTGTGCTCACCTCCTCTTGCTGCCCACCCGTGCCACCAGTGTGGGCCATCTACTCACTGCTTGTCCCAGGCTCTGTGCTGGCCAGGCAGCCCTACTTGTCCTTCTTGTACCTTCCAAACACAGACATTACTGTGATCATTGCTGCGGATCGAGGCTTTATTGTGCTTCCCTCACTGCTTTGGCTTGACTGGTGGGGAAGTATGGGTCCAGGCAGAGTGAATAGTTAAATAGGGGTGGCCCCTGGGGCCAGCATAGAGAGCTCAGCTCCGGAACATCACACTGAGCAGATGAGATGGGGTAGAATGGCTTTAGAGCTCAGCCTTTTGCAGCCCTCTTTGCAACGGGCAGCCCTTTGCTGCCTGGCTGGGGTTTGCAGGGAGGCCGGGCAGGCAGGTGGAGCGAGGCCACGTCCTGCGCCTCCATCCACCCCCACGCTTGGCATGGCCCTCGGTCCGCGCCGCTCGGTGTCCCCTGTCCTTTGTGCCTCTGCTGTGCGCTGGGAGCGGTCGAGTTTCCTGAACGGTTGAAAACATCCCACCTGAAACATAACAGGCTCTTCCTCTGGATGCTGCTATTGTTTTGCTGAGCATTACAGAAGCAGCTTAACCGGGCGGCCAATTATGACATGTCTTCCCAAAATAGCCCCGCTCCTGTCCCTTCTGAGCCCACGGAACGGCCGCCCCCTTAAGATGCAGCCGCTCCTTTGTGGCGGTGCTGTGAGTAACCCGCTAAATATAGCCGCATCCCATTCACGCTCCGCTCCTGGCGCAGGAACAATGCTGCGGTGCACACGCGCTGACACGCACCTGCCTGGGATCGGGTGCCTGCCGGCTGCGGAAGACGCACACCCACCCACGGCGGCTCCGCCACGGCGGCGGCCCCGGCTTGCTACCAGGCACGGGGCACGTTCACTGCTGAGGAAGACGCTGCTGCGGACGAACCTTGGGAGGAGGAAACCTTTGGAGCGAGATGCGAAGGAGGCATTGTTTTCAGCTCCTGGAAAATTCACCTCTTGTCCCCCTCCGAGTGCACGGGGAGCCGGCGGGCAGCAGCGCCAGGTTGCCCCGCTGCGGGATTGAGGCTCGGGCAGCAGAGGCGGTGGCACAGTGGTGACAGCTGTGGCACAGTGGTGTCGGCCCGGGTGACCCATCCCGCACCCAGCCCTGCGGGGCTGCGGCTCCTGGTCTGTCTGGCAGCCAGTGCAAAGCCCGTGCTGTGTTCCCAGCGGACATCACTCCGCTGTGGCACCGCAGGAAATGCAGCCTCACGGTTTGTGTGTGGTGAGGAGCGGTCCCCTTCTTGAACTTGAATCCCTCGGCCAGGCAGCCGGCTTCCGGGGAATCCCCCAGGTGATTCCAGCTGATGGATGAGTTGGGAATTTGGGACTGTGCGAGCGGGAGTGTGTGATCTCAGTGCTGCCACCAGCTGGGGCAGCCGGGGGAGCCACCTCCGGCTCCTGCCGAGCTCCTGGGAGAAGTCCCTGCCCAGGGAACCGCAGCCGGGCTGTGGGCTGTGAGTGGACGTGATTCGGTGCCTGCAATGGGAGGAGAAAGGAAAGCTGGGTAGTGCTGAGAAGAGCAGCGGGCTGCTGCTCCCGTGGGTGCCTTGCTGTGCCAGCCCCGCAGCGTCCCTTCGCCACGGAGCCATGCAGCGAGCCAAACCCCAATAGGGACCAAATCTGTCTGTCCTACAGCACTTGAAATGGGGTGAGGCTGCACCAAGGGTCTCCCACACCCGCACAGCCCCATATCCTCTCCCAGCACGGAGGAAACTGAGGCACAGCAGGATGGGCGGCTCAATCACTGCCATAACACAGCATCCTGCACCCTCAGCCCCATCCCCGTGCTGTGGGGCAGCGGCCGTGCCCACCGAACAGCAGAAGGGTTAACGCCGCGCTCGCTCCCCGTCCCATCCCGCACATGGGCTCCCTTTCATCTCTGGCCGGGGGCCAGCCGTAGTCTGCATGAATCACAGGCCACTCCCCTCCCCCCCAAGCCCCTTGGCCAGAGGCTTCTGCAGCCTTTTACTCACACAAACAAAAATAAATCTCGCTGCCGGCCTCTGAACTCTGCAAAGGCGAGTTTCCCTCTGGCTCCCCGAGCGGCCCGGAGCTGTGCGAGGGGACTTGGCACGCTCCCCGCCGACCTCGCTCTTTCACTCCCGGCGCATCCTGTGTCCTTCTCTCACCGGGCGGCCCGAGGAGCGGAATGGGACGTGACGGCCGGCACAGGCGTCGCTCGCAGCTGCCAGGAATCAGCCGGGTACGGCCTGCGAACGCCGACGGGGACGGTGCCACACACGAGGGGCCCAGCGCCGGTGTCACCTGCGCGGTCAGCCCGGATGGGGAGCGTGAGGGACTGGCCTCCTTCGGTCTTTGGGATGGTCGTTACCTGCTGCAGGGTGTGGTTTTGCTCTGCCTTTCTGTCACTCTGGGTCTCTGTGTTGGGTTCTTCCCCATCGCCTCGTGGCAGAGCCTGGTTCTGCACTGGGCGCTTCTCCATCCATGGCAGGACCTGGTGCACCTCCCCACTGCGCTCCCAAACATTGGGGAGGAGCCCCACCAAACCCCACTGAAGCTCCATGGTTGATGCCATCAATTTTGTCCCCTGGCTTAGCGTTGCCCCAGCCTGGGTTGGGCAAAGGCATGAGCAGAGGCAGCGCCCAGCGCGGGGCTGTGATGGTGGCCCTGTACCAGGATGCTGGTGCCACCATAGCTGCCCCTCAGTGGCCTTCTGAGCCCATGTGTGGGAGGCACGTGGGGAAGGCTTTGGTTGCTGCCTTGTGGGAGGTGGCGGCATCAAGGCAGCTTGATTTAAAGGCAGATGACAACACTCGCAAATGGATTTAAAACCACTTATTTCCACGGCCACTGCTGGCCCATGCAGCTCGTTGTTCCAGGGTGCCTCTGAGATTTTGGCATGACAAAAAGAGGGGTCAGATACACCCCCACAATGCTGGGCAGAACAGGGCTGGACTCAGCAGAAAGGGCTGGGCAGGGCTGGGCTCCCCTCCTGGCCCTGGGGTGTTCCGTGCGGGTGCAAGCCCTCTTTCACAAGAGTTCACGTGGTGGATGTGTTCCATACAGTGCTGCTGTGCTCCATGGGTGACCGGTTCCTATTAGAGGCAACAAACATCAGCGAGTCAAGGGAAGCTATTTTTAAGCAGAGGAAGCACTAGAATAGCATCCTGAGTTTTTTACGCCTGTGACTTACTGAAGAGTCCAAGTCCTTCGATAGCATCAAAAGTAACACATGAGCTTTTTGATCCCATTTTAGCAAATAGCGTTGTGCAAAGGTCCAGGTACAGCCAGGGGGGGCTTCCAGTAGGACCCAGCAGACCCTCCCCATGTGTGTGAGCACCTCTGGTCTCCAGTGGATGTGTGGGGCTCTGTCAAGGACAGCACCAGGACTTTGCAGGGCTGGAACCCACCTGGTTTCCCAGCTGGATGTTGTTGGAAAACACACGGTGTGTGCAGGACTTGGTGGGACAGAGAGCATGGTGCTCAGCCAAGCGTCCCCTCCCCACACACCTCTCCTGCTCGGGGTCCCATGGTTTGGATGTTGTTGGCATGGCTCGTGTCCCAAGCTGGCTTGTTTTCATTGCTGATCTTGTCATCTTGAGATGTTTTCATCCACCCCTTTCCTCCCTGCTGTTTTATATCAGGGTGGTGCAGATAGTCTTGGCAACTGCCAGTCCTATTAAATGGGACAATACCTGAAACAAATGCACTTTCAAGGCTGGTACAGCCAGTCCCACTGCAGGGCTTGGGCAGGGCTGTGTTTTCCTATGAGGGTGCTGCTGGAGTTTTTCACCACCCCACTGTGTCCCCACAAGAGCTGTTGCTTGCAGTGTGCAGGTGGGATGGACACAGCCTCCTCTACACGCCGTCCTTGCTGCAGGAGGCATGTGTGCCAACTAGGCTTATCTTTTGCTCCCAATGTCCACGGGTCACAGGGTTGACGTCTTTCTTACTCATCACGTGTCCTTCTCTTCCAGGCTGTGCTGAAAGACCAGAGTCAAATGAGGCAGATGGAGCTGGAGATAAGACCTGTCTTCCTGGTCCCAGACACCAACGGCTTCATCGACCACCTCAGCAGCTTGATAACACTGCTGGACTGCAGGAAGTTCATCCTCGTGGTGCCCCTGATCGGTGAGTAGCACAAGCACCAGGCATGGGCTTCCCTGTCCCTCGGTGCAGGCTCGACCCTCCATGCCAGGTCCCATTCTCGTGCCCCACATGCCCTTTTGTGTGGTCCCAGTGCTTGCTGTGCGCGCTGGACACAACCCTGTTGCTTTTACCTGTTGGAGCCATGTCTTCCCAGCTGCTCCTTCACCCCATGCCATGCTTTTCCCTTCCTGACAGCTTTCTGCCCAGCGTGAGCTCCTCTTCCCATGGTGCATTTAGTGGTGCCAGGGGCTGGGAGAGGCACACGGGTGTTAAATGGGATTTGAAGGGAATTTTGGAAGGAGCAAGGAGGAGGAATTGTTAAACAATCAGAGCAGATAGCTTATCCCAGCAGAGCTGGGGCTTAGGCAGCCTGAGCAAATGGCCGGCCTGTGTCCCAGCGTCTCAGAGCTGCTCAAGCCCAGCCCTTCTTTTTATCCTTATAAAGCTTGCAGTAAAACAGCAAGCTGGTTCCCGTTATTGGTAAACACTCACCCTGGCAGATAACGGCTGTGCTGCTGGGTGGTCTCCCAGGGTGGCGGGAGGATTTGGTGAGATGCCTTTGCTCTGATTGTTTGATCACTCGCTGGGCTCGCAGTAGCATTCCTCCGGCCGGTGCTGCACTGGGGCCGGCTGCACCCCAGTGCCAACCTGGCATGGAGGGGAGCTTGAGGGTAAAAGAGATCAGGGTAGGAGTGGGGCTGAGCCTCACAGATGCCTCAGGCTGCCCTCATCCCAGCTGCAGCCCCACAGGCACCTCCAGTCTGCAGGCAGCGAGGCGTACGCTCGTGCTGATCTCCTGCCCTGCAGCACACTTCATGCCTGCCCTCTGAGCAGGTGTGGGGCTTCCTCTTCGACTCGTAGCTCCACCGGCCCAAGAGCCAGCATCCAACAGGCCCTTCCTGCAGGGTCTGGCTCTGGAAGGACTCTTAGAGCTGGGGACGGGACCCCTGGACTGGGGCTGTCAGGGAGCTCTGCAGCTTGGCACGGCAGTGGCAGGGCATTACGTGGAAGCAAAGGGAAGGAAGCTGGCAGAGCCCTGGGGTCTGTGGAGTGTGCTCACACCTGGGAATGCTGGCGCCTTCCCTAGAGCCATGGCCCTGCCTCCTCTGTGCTCCCACAAGCATGAGCTGCAGGAGAGCGGGAAGCCCTGTTTCCTTCCCTGGGCCAGGTGCTGCCGCGCTGAACCTGCATAATGAGGGCTGGGCTGGCCAGGATAAGCCAGGGGCCAGTGGCCATGGTGCCACATCCTATTGCCAGTTCCAGGTGTGAGCTGTGCTCTGTCCCCAGCACGGGGCACTCCTCACTGCTTATCCCAGGGATGCAGCAAGGGGTTAAGCGTGCAGCTTCGCGTTCCGTTTGTTTCTCTTGCTCTTTAACCTGCTCCGTGCTCCTTAAGGCTGACCCCACCATGGAGAAGCCAGGCCTGGTGCAGAAGCACAAACAAGCCTCCCCTTTGAAGCCTGTTTAGTTTGGAAGCAGGAAGGCGGATTTCGGGAGGGAATACCAGCTTTTCCTGTTTGATGTTCCGTTCTTGCAAGGCTCCCCCCACCCCTAACCCAGCCGTGCATTGTGTGGAAATGGCAGCATCAGGTCGCTGAAAGCAGTAGCAAGAGGAGCAGTCAGCGAGCGAAGAGCAAAGCAGCTCCATGCAGCTTTAATTTGAATACCCAGACAGTGAGTGCCAGTCTCACCATGGAACAGAGCGATCACGCAGGCTCCCTGGGCAGTGATTCACAGCACTGGGGAGAGGCCTCAGACCCCGAGCTCTCTCCTCGAACCCCCAAGGAATGCATAGTTCCCACTTGAACTCAGGACTTGGCTCCAAGCTCGGAAACAATCTTCAGAAATGAAGCCATGGCTAAAACACACACTGCGCGCACAGAGGCTCCCTCGCACACACGTGCACACCAGCCCAGCCTTGTGCACACGCATCCCTGTGCACGAACACATGTGAGGATGCTCGTGTGCACATCTGGACACAACTGTCGTGAGCCCAGCCTCGCTGGGAGCTGCCTTGGCCGCGCTTGGCTCGCACACGCAGAGCAGCTCTGGGTGCACTGCAGGGTGCGTTCCTCCTGGCGTCCCTTGGGCACTGCTCAGCCTGGGGGGCTGCTGAGGCTGTGTGCCTGCTGCTTGGCAGCCGGACAGGAGGCTCCGAGCCCTGACAGTCTCCAGTGAAACCAAACGGGCTGGGAATCTGCCTGATCCCAGGCTCGAGCTCGGCTTCAGCAACATGTGTCAGGACAGATGTGCAAACTCTGTATCAGCCCCAGATGGGTGAGGTGTTGAAGAGAGTGTCTCCCCTGCAGGCAGCCTGGGGCAGCGACTTCAGGTGTGAAAACAGGGCCAGGACTTGGTGGAGCGGGAGCTGCCTGCTTCTGCATGTGACCCTACTTGCACACGCAGTTTTCTGCATCTGAAAGCAAGCCCAGGGGGCTGGGAGAAGGAGCAGAGCAGGGAGGCATGGCACGGATCAGGAGGCATGATAGCCAGATCCCCAGACCCATCAGCTTTCTGACCCCCCCCCAAATCGCACGTGAAGGTGCTCGGGTTGGGCTCACGGCTGCATTTCACAGGGCACAGTGCCCTCAGCAAGTGCTGCAGGGCAGAGGTCCCCATGCTCTCAGGGCTGAGCCAGGTGACACACAGAGATGGAAGGCAGCAAAGCTTTTCCAGACCTGTAGCCAAGTCCAGGAGCACAGGGACGCTGCGGCAGCTGAACCCAGATTTCCTGAGCCAGCTCCCAGTGTCCCAGCCCTGAGGCTTTGGCAACACGTGCGTTTCAGCAGCGGGTCACGAGAGCACCTTGTCCCTTAGTAACTGTACCTCCTCTTCCTGTTTGAAGTGATAAATGAGCTGGACGGCCTGGCCAAGGGCCCGGAGATGGAGCACCGGGCTGCAGGCTATGCCCGCCAAGTGCAGGAGAGAGCCAGGAAGTCCATCGAGTTCCTGGAGGAGAGGTTCGAGGGCCGTGACAACTGCCTGAGGGCTCTGACCAGCCGAGGCAACGAGCTGGAGTCCATCTCCTTCCGCAGTGAAGACACCACTGGCCAGCAGGTATGGATCACAGCCCTGTGAGGATGGAGGCACTGAGGCAGCGCTGCCAGTGCACGCTATAGGGCTGGAAGCCTCCCCAGGGACCTGTCCCTTTGCAGGCTCAGAGCAGCCCTGATGTCCACTGAGCTGCAACACCATCTCCAGGGCAGTGCAGAAATGATGGTGATGGGGCTGCAGGGTTTGTGTTTTTTTCTGCTGACAGTAACATTGTGCTTTTCTTCCAGGGAAATAATGACGACCTGATTCTGTCCTGCTGCCTCCACTATTGCAACGACAAGGCCAAGGATTTCATGCCCTCTAACAAAGGTAGAACATCCTCACATCCTCTTTGTCCCTTCTCTGTTGCAGCCCACAGACCCTGCTCATTTCTCTTTTTGTGGCTCTTGGAGCCCATACCTCTGCATTTGGCCTCTTTCAACACCAAGGTGTCACCTCCTGCCCCCACGCAGCCCCAGGATGTGGCCCATCCTGCTGTGTTTCCAAATGCTCACCTCTACGTGCACCTTCTGGGACTCCCCAGCCTGTGAGAAGACCCCTCCATACACACACACAGCCACTTTGTAGTGCTGGCAGCACAACTGTTAGTAGTTGCTGTCCCCCAGACTATGCACCGAGGCCATAAAACCACGTGTCAGGGCCTTTTGCTTTCCCTTCACCCTCCTAGAGTGGAAAGAGCAGATGCAGATCCAACTGTCTGCCCATACAGGGACATCTCCTGCCACTGCATGCCACAGCCACGGCTGCAGCAGAAGGTCAAGGGCTCCTTCTGAAAGCCCCAGTGCCTGCTGGTTGGAGCCTTTTTCCTCCTGATGCCCTGCTGGCAATGGCAGCATGTGCTGCGACCAGACAGCCCCAGTGTGCTGCCAGGGCAGTGTGGATGGGAATTAGATCAGCAGCTGCCCAAGAAATCAACCCACATTTGTCAGCGCGAATTCTTAGCAGCTTAACTTGTCAGATTCACAGAGAAACCGTCACCAAATGTTTATGTGCAAATGATGCTGAATTTTGAAATCATGTGGATTATGGCGAATGGGGCCTGACAAGCTGACAGCCTCTGGTTTGTAACAAGGAGGCGCGTCACCAGCTCGGAGCAGAGGATGTTTATTGTTACACATTTCTTAAAGTGTCCGCACAAAACCTTCCAATCCCGCTTTCATCAGCCCTCGGCCCCAGGCCTGCCCTCCCACAGCTGCCCCACGGCTGCCCCGCACTCCCCTTCCTCCCATCACCTCCTCACCATCCTCAGCCCCAACACCACCAGCTTGTTAGCTTGTCGCTAACCTCCCCTTCCCCTTGGCTTGCTGCTCCTGGCGCGGCCAATCTGGGCCCATGTTGGGCTCCCATAAACTCTGTTTTTTCCATTCCAATCCTGGCTCAGAGGCACTGTGTTTCCTGTGCTCATAGGAACAGTACTCTGGTCACAGGACCCAGCTGCTTACACATACCCCATATGCTTCCCCTGCTCCGCACACACGTAAGCGTGGCTCCCATATCCCCAGCCTGGCGTGTTGCGTGCGGGGCAGCTCATCCATCTGGGGGCAAGATCCCTTCAGTTATTTCTCAGCCTTCAGCTCTGTCTGAGCCTCAGCCAGAAACGCCTCGGTGGCAGTGGCTACTCCAAAAGCTGCTCGAACGAAAGGTTCGTTTTAGATCTTATAATGAGATCGCCAGAATAATAGCACCAGCTTCCTGCTGGAGCCAGGGTCGCGGGCCGTCTTCCTGGCCTGGGTCAGGCGAAGGCACCTCCTGTTCCCAGTGCTGAGCACCTCCCTGCTTTGGGCAGCGGGGTTTCGCCTGCAGGGGATGGGCAGAGCGCACAGATTGTCCCCAAACCAGAGCAAGGAGATAACAGAAGGCTTCCGAAATGAGGCGTCGTCTCCGAGCCACGGTGGGAAACCTCAGCAGGCAGCAGGGAGCCAGGAGCACCGGGAGGCTGCGGGGATTTGGGGCGCAGAGCACGCGTGGGGACAGCATGGTACGACACACAGCTCTGGGATTCACTCTGCTCTGTTGTTCTTCCATGCAGACGATCCCATCCGTTTGCTCCGCGAAGTGGTTCTGCTGACGGACGATCGCAACCTGCGAGTCAAAGCGCTGACCCGCAACGTGCCTGTGAGGGACATCCCCACCTTCCTCAAATGGGCCCAGGAGGGCTGAGGGGGCCGAGCAGGGAGCAGAGCCCCCTGAGTGAGTAACGCAGAGTGTTGCGGTGGGAGACCGGCTCCGCAGCAGCCCTCACCGCCACCGCCTTCCAGCCCACAATGAACAATAAACGCCACGTCTTCAACCCACCCCACATGGCCGTGCTGCGAAGGGCCCCCCCCGAGGGGTGCAGGCGAGCTGGGAAGGTCATTGCCGTGGATGGTTCACGTGGAGGCTGGGACGTTGAGTGTCCCCGTGGCCTTCGGGCGGTGCTGGAGCAGAGCTGGAGAGCCCTGCTGTGTAGGGAAGCTTTGGTTGACCCCGTGCCGGATCGCCGGCCTTTCGCTTGGTTTGCTTGGTTGCAGAGAGCTCACGTCGTGAGTCGGTGTCTCTTCGGGTTTGTAGGCTGTACAGGGCAGAGATTGGGGACGCAACGGTGCAGACTTTGGGATTGCTTTGGTCTCGCTCAGCCCCAGGAGCTGAGCCTTTGGGAGATGCTGTGGACTTCAAGGGCAGGTCCTCAGCTGTGTGCCCCACGCTCTCCATCATCCCTGCCCAGCCTGTTCCTCCTGCATGTCCCAGGCTGCATTGGTTCCCCATCCCATCCCCGCTACCACCCCACAGAAGGGAACGCTGTCTGCTGCTTGCAGAGATGCTCGTCCTCTCCGCTGCAGGGTTTGCTTTTTCGGTTTCATTTCAGACTTCAGCATAGGATTGTTTTCAGGTGTGTGCCCTGCCTGCTTTGTGGGGGAGGAGGGCTTTGAACACCCCTGATCCCCCCCACAACTGCTTTCTGTTCTGCTCCCTTCCCACAACAGACGTTACCTGTTCCCACCTCTCTTTCCCCTACCCCTGCTTCCCACACTGACACTTTTAGCCACATTTTCAGCCCAGGGCTCAGCGTGAGGTCAGCAAAGCCCTCCGAGTCCCCAAGGAGCCCGGGACAGGCTGTTTGGGGACAGGGCTGGTGAAGCCTGGGCAGTGCCTGGTGCCGAGCCCAGCAGTGAGGGTCCCCTTTTGTCACCTCAAGCCCTGCAGCACACCGCTGTCTCCCACACCACATCACATTGTCCCCACCACCAAACCCTCATCCCCCCGGCACTACAGATACAGAAGCCACGAGGGAGCGTTTGCCCATGAACTGGCATCCCTGAAGCTCTGTCACGCCTCAGTCCCATCAGCACGGAGCAGGACTGACCCCAGGGCCACCTCTGGTTCCCACCGGCGCGCTGCAAAGGATGCAGGAGGACCGAGCTCAGTGTTTTCCTTTCCTGCGTGGGTGGCTCAGACCTGGTGTTTCCAACAGAGCACGTTCAAGCAGGAAGCTCACTGTCACCCATTCCATGGTGAGGACCGAAGCAGGGCTCAGGGCCTGAGCGGAGCACATGGACAAGCAGCAGTTGTGCTCACCTGTACCATACACGTGTCCTGGCAAAGGGCTCAACACAAGTGCAGAACTGCACGGTGCAGATTTGAGGACCCCAAGCAGCGCAGCCACCTGCAGGAGGACACGCGGAGTGACCACGGTTTAACACGAGCACCCAGGACCCAATTCGTGCTGCACAGCTCTGGGCGTAAGCAGCGTGCAGAATTCTCAAAGCTGAGTGCATTGGAAATGTGTTCTCACCTGTGCCGGATGCCCAGCCCTCGCAGGGCTCTCTGGGCAGCACAGAGGGGGTCTCACCGGGCTGAGTGCCGGGGCCACCTGCGCCAGCCCTTTGTTTGGGAGGTGGCCGCGTTCGGGTGATTTTGTTAAGATGGTTTTAATCATTTTTAGTATTAAACTCTTGTCTGTGCAGCCCGTTGTCTCTCTCGCCGTCTGTGGGCGCATCGCTATCAGTTGGGGCGGTGGGAACGTATTGCAGCAGGACGTGTCCCTGCTGTCCTGCACCTTCCCTGTTAATGAACGGGACTCTGGGCAAACAGAAAAGCTCCTCTCCTCCGCTCCTCTCCCACAGCCCCACACCACCCACCCAGCGCAGCCCCATAGGGTACGTCCCCGCTCCCCATCCCAGCCCCACACATCAGGGCCACCAGAGAAGGACGCGAGGCTCTGTGTGTTAATGTCACTTTATTGCTTGTTCCGTTTCGACTATAGAAAAAAGGGCGAGGAGCCCGTGTACAAATCGGACGTGATACAGACCCCGCTGGGCGTTTCCAGCTGTGTTTTGGGTGCAGCTGCTGCCGGTGCTCGGCCCCCAAAATGGGCACAGATGCCCGGTGGCAGCTCTGGCCAGATGCTGGTGAGCCCCGGGGGGGACCTGGGTGACCCCTGCCCATCCCTGGCTGGAAGCAGGCACTTGGGGGCACGAGGCCTCGCCACAGAGCAGCCAGCACAAGGTAAGGCACAGTGGCTGCGAGGCTGGGGACAGTCACTGCCCCGGGGCCTCGTGTGCAAAGGAGAGGAAGGGGCACGGGGAGGGGAGAAGCTTCACATTAGCCCCAGGCAGAGGGGTCGTGGGCCTGGGTGGGGATCCAGACTTAGGGAGGGCTCACGAGAGGGGTGCTGCGGTGCCAGGGGTGCCCCTTGGGGGCTCGACCCGCTGTCATTGCAGCCCGGGCCGGGGGCTCAGCTCTCCCCAGGGCTGCTCCCGGCCCCTTCCCGCGGCCCCGTTCCTCCGCTGCCCACGTCCACGTAGCTGACAAACCCAACCGCTTTGTCTTTGTCATAAACTCCCGGCCCGAGGTTCCCCCAAACCCGACCCGACCCAGCTGTGCTGGGGACGGGGATCTTTGGCAATAAAAGAGGTGGGCCCGAGGGCACAGCCACCCCACGGGACGGCGGCTCCCAGGGGTCCCTCTGCCCCACGGGGCCCCGGGCATCCCTGATGGCGAGCGCTGTGGGGCAGGGTGCAGGGGCTCAGTCTGTGACAAGGCCCTGCCCCACCTCCCGAAAACACTGGCGGCTGAGGGCTGAGGCCGGGAGCTCAGTGCTGCTCCACGTTGAGGAGCATCGTGTTTCCCCGGTCACCATCCCTGACCCCCAACAAAACCCCGTGTGAGCCCTCTCCATCAGTCTGTCCCCGAGCTCCCAGCACAGCCCCGGGGAGGAGGAGGCCCTTCGCTGCGGCCGCGATGGATGAACTACTCACGGCCCCGCGGCAGTGATGGCGGCACAGTCTGGGTTCCATCACAGCAGAGCTGAGCTCCATTAGGTCCCACCGCAGGGCGAGCAGAGATGGGGACAGCCCCGAGGTAAGGAGCGGGCTCATGTCCTCCGAAGCCTCAGGGTTCGGGCTGGCGGCACAGCGGGGCGAGCCGGGAGGTCAGTCCCTGAATATCGGCTTCTCCCCACCGCTCAGGGCAGGACGCGCCATCCAGCCGGCCCGGGGCAGCTCTCATGGGACCCCCTGCTCCGAGTGAGTTCTCCGGGGCCGAGCACCTTGCCACCTCCATCCCTGCCCTGGAGAGGCACGGGGAGCCCCAGGGCCACCCCCCGGCGGGCGCTACGGGGGCGAGTAGCGCTCTATGGTCCGCGCGGCATCGGCGTGGAGGTGCGGAGCCTGCGCCAACACCTCGGCCGCTTTGTCCTGGCTCAGCCCCAGGTGCTCTGCCGTGAACTTGGCCAACGGGTAGAGGCTCTCCATGGCCTTGGGGTCGCTGAGGAAGTGCGAGGTGTGGGACAGCAGCTCGGCCGCCTTCTCCTGCTTGAGCCCCAGCTGGTCGGCGGTGAGCCGCGCCATGGCGTAGACGCTGTCGGGGAAGTCCAGCTTGGCTTTGCCATCGGGGCCGGCCGCGTGCATCTTCATGTGGCTGATGAGGTTGCGCTGTTGGGCGAACTTGCCGCCGCACACCTGGCACTCGTAGGGCTTTTCCCCAGAGTGGATGCGCATGTGCTCGGTCAGGCGGTACTGCCGGGTGAAGCGCATCCCGCAGGCGTCGCAGGCGAAGGGCTTGAGGCCGAGGTGGCTGCGCATGTGGCGGGTCATGGTGCCGCGCTGCGTGAACTTCTTCCCGCAGATGGTGCAGGGGTAGGGCCGCGTCAGCCAGTGCGTCTTCTCGTGCTGCCGCAGCGTGGCCGGGTCCTTGTAGGACTTGTCGCAGGACGAGCAGCGGTACGGCCGCAGGATGTCCCCCAGCCCTGCACCTCCCTTATCCAAGAAGGGCACGGCCTGCTCGGCCGCCGCTTTGTGGTACAGCTCCTCTTCGTTGTGGGCCTCCACGTGCGCGTTGAGCTGCTCGGAGCTGGGGAAGCCCTTCCCGCAGGGGATGCAGACGTACAGGTTGTCACCCAGGCTCTCGGGCTCGTAGCCCAGGTGGTTGCAGTAGCGGTCCAACGCATCGCCGGGCGACGGCCCCTCGCTGCTGCCCGTCTCCTCGCTCGTGCTGTTGTCAGGCTCCAGGTCGTTGCTTTCCACACTGGGATAGCGCGGCTGCGGGGCGGCGGGCGGCGATTCGGCTTTTTCCTCCCTCTCCAGCTCCTTCTCCGCCTCCCCTTCGTCCAGGTAGGGCCCCAGCGGCTCGTGCTTCATCCAGCGGTACATCAGCTCGCGCCCATCGCCGCGGGGCAGGGGGGGCTCGGTGCAGGGCGGCGTGCCGCGGAACGGGTCGGTAGCGTGGGGGTGTCCCCCCGGCTCCCCGCCCGGTGGAGAGTCCTTGTAGGCAGCGGGGTGGCCGGCCAGGAGCCCCCCGCTCACCGGGGGGCTGTCGTGCCGCGGGGGCAAGGAGGGCTCGCGGGGCTCTGCGGGCAGCAGGCGGTCGGTGGGCAGCAGCTGGGCGGAGGGGCCGGTGGGGCTCTTCTTGGAGAGGTCGAGGCCACACGGCGGCGAGCAGTGCCGCTCGGGGGGGCACAGCCCGTGGGGGTGCAGCGGGGTGCCCTGCGAGGCCGAGGCGTAGAGCTCCCCACACTGCGTGTTGAGCGGCGCCGCCGGCTCCACAGGCTGCAGATCGACGGGTCGTGGCGTCCCCGAATAGCAAGCCTGGATGACCGGCGTGGCGGCACGCAGCCCCCGGCCCAGCTTGTAGGGCGCGTACCCCCCACGCAGGTGACAGTACTTCCCGCTGCGCTTCAGCTTCTTCTTGCACAGTGCCACCAAACCGGGGATCTGCAGGTAGCTGGCGGCTGCCAGCACAGCCCCCAAGCTCTGCTCGCCGCCCGGCTCACATTCACCCAAACGCCCGGTGTAGATGAAATCGAGGATGAGGCGGAAGATGCCGGGGCTCACCATCTCGTGGTCCAGGTTGAGCAGGTTGTCGTGCACCACCAGCGACTTGAGGTAGGCGCTGCTGGCCGCCAGGATGTTCTTGTGAGCGCGGAAGAGCGCGTTCTGCACCACGATGATCACGTCGCACAGGAAACCCTTCGTGCGCTGAGTGTTCAGCTGCAGCAGCAGCTGCCGCGAGTGGCTCGGCACCTCCATGGCCTCCAGCATCGCGCCGCGCGCCCTCCGCCCTGCAACACACGGCCCCCGTCAGCCCAACGCCTAGAGGGGATGTAGGGAGGGTCGGGCACTTCGGAGGCGGGGGAGTGCGGGGGGGGGGGGGGGGGAGTTCAGCCCACTTCAACCCCAACCCCGGTTCTTTCTCCCCCTGCTGTGTTCTGGCTGCTCTGAGCGCAGCTTTCCGTGTGCCACGCTTATATCGGGGCTCGCTTCGCGCCGGCTGATGGGGCGGGGAGTGGGGTACAAACCCCCAGAGGCTCAAATTTAGGTTAAAATATTATTTTTATTTTTGGGGGGGAGAAAATGACATCATCCCCCTCCTCCCACCCCCCCCCCCCTCCCCGCCCCCGCTCGCCTCCAGCACCCCCCGTTCCCACCTGCCGCTGCCCTCACCGGAGGAAACGAGGGGGAAGCAGAGAAAAAGCGGCCGTCCCGCAGCCCTGCGAAGCGCCGCGGTGCCGCCCGCCCCCCCGGGGCCGCCGCTCGCCGTTACCTGCGCCGCTCCCCGCTCCCCGCAGCGCTCCTCCCGGCTCTTATGGCCCCGCTCCCGGGAGGCGGCCGGCCGTGCCCCCGGCGCCCCCCGCCCCCGTTTCCTGCGAGGTGAGCGGGGGGGACGAGGGAGGGTAAGGAGGTGGGAGTGGGTTGGGGGGGGTGGGGGGGGAAACGGGACCTCCCCTCCCCGCCTCCCCTCCCGGTGCCGCCCCGGTGAGTGCCCCCCAAGCGTCGTCGGAGCCGCGGTGCCGCTTTACCTGCCCGTCCGCTGCCCTCCGCCAGCCAGCCGAGCTCTCGGTGGACTCTCATGGCTCAGCCCCGGGGGGGCCGTCGCCGGGCGCTGCCCTCCGCCCTCCGCCGCCGCTCCATTCCCGGCGCTGCCGACCGCCCGTACGCCCCTCGGAGCGGTCGGCGGCGGCGGTTCCTCGGGGCTCCCGACGCCGCCAGCTCGGAGGTGAAACCCGGGCTGCGAACTCCCCCTGACCCCGGCCTGAACTCCGAGCAGCGCCGCTGGCTGTTAAAGGGACGGCGGGAGGTTTCCTCCTCCCCTCCCCGGGCGGGGCACGCCGCAGCCGGGCCCCCCCCTTCTCCTCCTCCTCCTCCTCCTTCTCCTCCTCTTTTCTCCGAGCCCTAATTCCCCCCCGCCCCGGTGGGAGCGGGAGGAACGGGCGGCGCCGCCTCCCGCACGGCCCCACCGCCCTTTCGAGGGTCTCAATCCCGCCGGCGGCTTTGCCCACCCCTCCCCGTCTCTCCCGGGCTCCTCCGCCGCTCCCGACCCCTCTTATCTCCCCCATTTCGCCGTGTCCAGCCTCAGGCTTCCCCCCACCCAATCCATCAGCCCGACCAGGTGAGCCCCGACGGCGCGTCCGCCGCGCCCCGACGGCACTTACCCGCAGCGCCCCGTCTCCTCCGCCGCCTCCGCGGCCGCTGCCCGGTACCGCTCGTCGGGCTCCATCTAGCGGCGCCCGCTGCGCTCCGCCCCCCGCCGTCGGGGTTTTGGGGTGGGAGGGGAGGGGGGTGGGGGTGTAGAGCTCCTCCCCGTGCAGGTGCGCGGTTCCCCCGACGGGGCGTCCCGTGGAGGTGGTGGGAACGGGAGTAGAGGTCGATGGGTTTGGTTTGTGTTGGGTTTTTTTTGTTTTTTTTTTTTTTCTCTTTAATTTTGGAGGAGGAGAGGAGAGCGGGTGGGAAGGAAGGGTGGCCCCCGGGGGGACACAGCGACGCGGCCCCCCGCTCCTAGCGAGGCGGGGAGAGCTTCGTGCTTTCGCTTCTCCTTTCTCACGGCCGCGGCCATTTGTGTAAGCCCGGAGGGCGGCACGGAACCGGGCATCTCCGCCCGGGGTTCACCCCGCAGCCGGGCACGGCACCCCAAAGGTCGCCGGTTCGCCTATCCGACCCCGTGGGTCTGCACCCAAATCCCATCGAGCACCAGCCGGCGCAGCGCCGGCCCTCCCACTGTTCCCTATGGGAGATTTTGGCCACAGCGAGGTGGCACCGCGCAGCCCTGAACCCAAACCCGGCGACATCGGGATCCTGGGAGCGGAACGAGCGCTGACCCTCATTGCGGAGCAGTGATTTCATCCCCCCCCCCTCCCCTCTCCCCCAGGGCACTGATTTCCCCTCACCCTCCTCTCTTTATATATATATATATCTACATACATAATTTTTTAGGGTTTTTTTTTTTTCCTGTTCAATTAACGGCTGGAAGTGTTTCAGGTTCTGGCAGGGAGCTTTGGACGTCGCTGTGAGCGATGACTCCCGCGGGCTGCGTCCGCGTAATTTATGGGGCCGTGATGCATCAATCACAGCGGCTCCCCGACAGCTGCCCCCCCCCCTCGGGACCCCGGGCTGCCCCCGCTACCTGCTGAGTGACTGAGCCCGAGGGGGGGGGGGTGGAGAGGAGGGGGAGAAACCTCCGACTCCTCCACCTTTTTCTCGCAGCCCAAAGGCTGGGGCAGGTGGTGGAGGGGGGTGAGCTGAGCCCCGCGGCTCAGAGCGGAGCTTTGCCTTTGCCCTGTCACGCCGCAGGCAGAGCTGGTGAGCAGGAGTGCTCAGGAAGAGAAGGAAAAGGAGGAGAAAAAAAAAAGGGGGCATTTTCGCCTCAATGTGCAGCGCAGATTGGAAACAGCTCTGCTTAAGTCATTGGCTCTGTTGGGAGGTCTGAGCTGGAGCGTCTCCCGCCTGTGCCCCCTCCCCACGATCAATCACGGCGCAGCAAATTAGCCCAGATGCCGGGAGATTGGGTTCAAATCCAGCTGTGGTTTGGATCGCGCTCGCACGCCTGGCTTCATGTGGGACCTGGGCTGTTGGACAGGATGCAGCCCCCCGGTCTCCGCAGGGCCCCGTTTCCCAGCGCAGCCTCTCCCCGTAGCCCACACACATGTGTTCGATTACGGCGTTGGCCAGCCGGGCCGCATCCGGCACCGCCAGGAGCCTGGAGCCCCGCTGGCAGCTCACACTTCATTTTCCCGGCGGTGCCGGGGGCACGGCAGCCCCACAGCCCCTGTGTGGCCCCTTTATAGGGGCTGAGTCCCCTCCCAGCACGGTGGCATTCGGTCCCGTTTGTGCACCGGCTGAGGCCGTGAAACTCGTGACAGATATGAGCTGCCCTCCGGTTGGGTGTTGGATGTGGGTTGTGGGGTTACTCTGTGCCTGTGCTGAGCTCTGCCAGGTGTCCCCCGGTACCACAGGCCCGTGTTTTGGGGCCAAAGGCTGCACTGTGCTGCATCTCCCCGTTGGGGCAGGGTGGGCGAGGGGAAACCAGAATTGTGGGGCGGTGCTGTGATGGGTGAAGGGCTCTTCTCTATGCAGTGATGCTTTGTGGGGCAGTGGGATCTCTTCCTTGTGGGGCAATGGCATGGAAAGCGATGGGGCCCTTTCCCTGTGGGGTGGGTTGGGGGAGCCCTCCCTGGATGAGGGGTTCCTCCCCTGAGAGGAAGCGTGCTGAGAGACCCTCTCCGTGGGGTGATGCTCAGGTGAATGAGGGGCAGAATCCCACGATGGCTGAGGTTGGAGATCCCTCTGGTCCCTCTCCCACAATGCCACCCAGAGCTGGTGCCCAGCATCACATCCAAATCCCCATGCAGGACACCCCTGGGTCTCCATGTGCTCCCACCAGTCACCTTTCATCGCCCACCAGGACCCCAGGGGCTGCCAGGCTGTATCCCACACCCCATTCCCAGCACAGGGCTCTGCACAGCTCCCTGTTGACCTTCAGGAGGTTCCCATCACCTGGATGGGGAGATGGGACCTTTTTATTTGTGGGGTGACACGATGGGGCAGTGGGTTCCCCTTCAGTGTGGGATGATGCTCACCCATACAAGCAGAACCTTTCTCTGCCAAGTGATGTTTAATGGATCAGTGAGAGCCCTTCCTCACAGGATGATGCTCAGTGGGATGGCTTTAGGATGCCTTTAGGATGACTCTGAGGCAGAGGACCCCATTCCTTTGGCACGGTGTTTGGTGAGGTGATGGGACTCCATCCTTCCGGGACAATGGTGATGGGAACACATCCCTTTGGGACGATGTATGACAGGATGATGGGACCACATCCCTTTGGGATGGTGCTTGGTGGGATGATGGGGCTCCATCCCTTTGGGACGCTGGTGATGGTACTGCATCCCTTTGAGTTGGTGCTTGGTGGGGTGATGGGACCGATTCCCTTGGGATGATGATGATGGGACCCCATCCCTTCGGGTCAGTGCTCCGTAAGACAATAGGACACATTTTAGGACGATGCTCGATTGGATGAGGAACACTTCCAGCAGCTCGGTGGGGGCTGGGATCACCTTTCCATGTCGGGAAGCTCTTCGGACCCCACGGCCCCCTTCCACCACCAGCCCTTCCACTATGGGACGCTTATAGGATGGAGGGGCTGCGGATGGGCTGCCGCAAACCCCACTAGATGGCAGCAACGGGCTGCGCTCCGGGACACAGCGCTTCCCCCCCCAACCCCCCCCCCCCAACCCACCGCCTCCCCCTCGGGGACCGGGGGCCGCTTTTCGTCCCGAAAGGTTCCCAACGGGGGACCGCGGGAGGGGTGGGTGAGGGATGAAAAGCGGCCCCCGGTCTCAGAGGGGGCGGCAGCGGCGGCTCCGGGGGAGGCAGTGCGCAGCCGGTACCGGTGGGCCGTCCCCGGTGCTGACTAATCCCGGGGCTGAGTCACGGCTGCGGCGGGGAGCGCTGCGGCAGCGGAGCCTCCGAAAACCGGAGAGAGCCCCGACGGGGCGGGCGCTGCGAAAGGGCTAAAAGTGGTGGGGGGAGACGGAAGGGGGATACGAGGGGGGATGAGTGAGTGTGGGTGGCGGGGTATTTAACAGGCTTTTGGGGTGGAAGCGGGCTCCCGTCGGAACGGGGGTCTGGGGGAAGAGGGCGGGGGGTGAGGGAGGAGGGATGGATGTGGGGTGTCAATGGGGAGTGGGGTTTGGGGTGGGTGTAAGGGGGGTCGCGGCCTTACGCAGCGGCGGGTGCTGGCGGCGCGGTGCTGCTGTCAATGACAACGCTGCTGTTGCCGTGGCGACCGCTATGATGCTTCGCCGGAGCCCAGTGAGGTCAGAAGGCTCCGACAGGAACCGGAGGGGGGGGAGGGGGGGTTCTATGGGGGGTATGGGATGCGTACCACCGGGGGAACTGTCCCCCCACGTCCTCATGGCTGTGGGTTTAGTCTCACTCTGCTCCGGGTGCTGGCATTTGGGATGGCGGGAGTTAAATTTCGGAATTCACCCAAGCCGGCTCATTGGGAACGCAGCGTTTTTGGGGTTTCGGTGCCCCTGTGTGGGATCGAGCCCCCGGCCTCCTGCTAGGCTGCATTAGGGCAGCACGGTGCTGCAGTGGGGCAGCTGCAATGTAGGGGGGGGGGAAAGCTCCAAACTCCCCCCCAGTACACACACACACACACGTTGTTGTGCCCCATCCTCCTGCAGGACACCCATGGGTGCTCACTGGGGGCACAGGGTGACACCATGATATGAGGGCGGGTGGGCACAGTGCAGGTGTATAGGAGGCACCCCCAGGTTTGGACGCCCCCCCCTCCCCCAACCCGCTCTCCCCCCTCCCGGGTCTCTGTGTGATCTTTTTCCCCCAGAGTGCAGCCCCACAGCACGAGCTTATGGGCACGGGGGGGAGGTGAGTGTCTGGGGGGTGACCCCGTCCAGGGGTGTCGGGTCGCTCTGTGGGGTGCACCCCCAACGGGAGGAGGGATGCGGGGATCGGGGCTGCCCCTCTGCATATCCCCACCGGGGATGGGTGGCCGGGGGAGGTGGGGTGATGTCGGGGTCCCGGTGCAGCCCGGACCCCTCTCCCCACCCTCGGGCCGTTGCCCTCCCCCCGCCCCGATATAAATAGTAGCGTCTTCCCGTTCCCTAAATTTCCTCGCTGACGTAGCGCTCACGTCATTGTGTAGGTTGATGCTTTTCTATGAATGAGCCGAGATCCCCGTTACTACGAGCCCGATCCTATAAAAGCTCCGCGCTCTGCGGACAGCGCAGCATCGCC